AAGAAATTTTTGATGTTCCCAGCCAAATCAAGGTCAAATCTGTGAGTCAGTCCAGAACCGTAAGTGGCCCGGCAAACATGTTCCACCCCCACCAGAGGCTTCAGATATTTCCAAAGTCTTTTAGCAGGCATCCTATGTGCAGGCCCAAGCCCGGAGGCTCAGAGTTTGGATGCCACCGAGTGTCGCCTGCCCTCAGCCATAAGGCCGCAGGAGCAAGCTAGGAGGGAGCCTCCCATTTCCAGAAAACGGGCTTTAAGCCCCATCTCAGGGGATACTAAACCACGCCAGAAACGGAGCACTTAAGGAAAACTGCCTCCATGGACCCAGGCAGACAAGTTCTTTGTGTGAATCTGATATTTTTTATTAGACCAGCTTAAATAGTTGGCAAAAATACCTTTTCTTAGCAAGCTTTCGGGTTTAAAACCCGTTGGTCAAACCCACGGTGTTTCCCCTGCCAGGTCAGACCTTGGGAAGCGCTGCAAGAAGAAGGGGCTCCTCCTCCCGGCGGACGCACGCGGCTCGCTGTCCCCGGGGCGCAGGTCCCATGACCCGTCCCGTCCCGACGGCAGGGCCCGCCGCGCCGAGGAAGCAGACAAGCCCGTCGCGCCACACCGGGCACTGGCAATCCTCCTCGCGAGACTCCTCTTGTCCCAGCGCGGCCCGGCACACGCCCCTCCTCTCTCCCGGGACTGCTCCTGCTCCTGCCCCCGCCCTCTGCTGCTGCGAGCAGGACAGCAAGAGCTCAACACCCAGCTCACGCATCCCAGCAGCCGGGGCAAGCGCCGGGCCCCTTTTGTTCGCGGGGCGGGGCGGGGAGGCGGGCGCGCGGCTGCAGGCGCAGACTCCTCCCTTCCCGGCCGCTGGCGCAGAAGGAGGAGGAGCGGGAGCAGCCCGGAGCCTCGCGGCCTCCTGGCGGCCTGGCCGCGGTGCAGAGGTGGAGGTGCTTGGGCGGGGGCACCCTGACCCACCGTTGCTGCGTGCTCTTGGAGCCGGAGTCTCTCTCTCTCTGGCCCCTGCCTTAGGTTTCTTGCCCCGTTCACTGGTGAAACGCCCAAGAAATGTTCTCAGCCTCTGGCGGGCCTTGCGAGATCAAGTGTATGATCCCTTCCTCAGCCCCATCCCTCTTATGATAGTCCCTCCTGGGGCACTCTGGATTTCCCTTATGGCCGTGTCTTTCTCAGGCTTAACATTTTCTAATGAAGTGAACCTGCTCAAATGGGCTTCATGTAGCCAGGTCAAGTTCGAGGTGGCCGCATGTCTTATATGTCAAATGGGCTGCATGTAGCAACATCAAGTTCAAATTGCCTGCATGTTTTATATGTAACTTTGTGTGCTTCCCTGCCTACCCCCGGTCCTCTACTACGTAGCCCCTCGCTGGGGTCCTTTTGTATTTCCTTTGCTTTGAACTTTGTAACCTTAAACTTTAACATTTTCCATAAACTTTAATGCTTTCTAATAAAGTAAATATCTTCTCATGGTCCAGTGTAGGAAGTATCTGAAGTCCCGGACTAAAGAGTCTGGGACCAAGGATATTTACCTGTAGTATCTGGGGGCAGGGGCCGCAGAACACCTTTTTTGGTTGGGGGGCCAGAGAAACCATTCCTCCCCCCCCATAGCTCTCACTGCTGATTTCTTACTTTATGTTTACACTAATGCACTTTTGCAACGTTAGCTGTGGCGTACGCACAGGCAGTTTACGGAATGACATGTGTCAGTCGGAAACATCCCATCAGGCACAAACAAAGCAGAAGTATAGCTTGCTATTTAGCTAGCTATGCAGTTAAAAAAATAGCTATACAGTTTTAACCAGAACGATAATTGCACATTTGCTGGTTTTATAAATTAATGTGCTAAAAGTTGGTTGGGCCATGGCCTGGGTGGCCCATCCCATTCTGCAGCCTATGTCTGGGGGCATCCAAATCCCAAGACCTCTGGGCTTGGGCCTGCATAGGATGGCTGCCAATGGAGCTGGGAGTACCTGAAGTGCCAGGGTGAGAGGCTGGGATGGAGGACACTCGCTGGTTGTTGAGCAGCATACATGGTGTTTAGAATGATTGAGTTCTGCCTGCTCAATCAATATGGTTTTTTGGAATGATCAAGTTCTGCTCAGTCGATATGATTTGGAACTGATTTGGCTCACTTGACCTAGTACATGAAATATATTCTTAAATAAATAAATAAAATGTAGACAAGCCCTCCCCCTCCACCCCCCCCCCCCCCCCCGGGCAAAATAATTGTCATGCCATAAAAATGACCACCCAGCTCTAAAAAGAGCCAACAGGTTGCACAGTTAGTGCTTGAAAATGTATCACAACTTTATAACTGGTTTCTAGCCAGCTTAAATTTGAACTGGCAGGGCTCTCTCTTCTTGTGTGATGCTACAGTTAGCAGAGCAAACAATACACTGGCATGCATCAATCAACGTACCTTAAGCAAAACTAAGGAAGTGATTCTCCCTCTCTACTCGGCATTGGTGAAACCACAGCTGGAGTAGTGTGTCCAGTTCTGAGTGCCACACTTCAAGAACAATGTGGAGAAGCTTGGGAAAATCCAGAGAAGAGCCACTCATATGATTAGAGGCCTGAAGAGCAAGCCATATGAGGAAAGGCTGGGAGATATGGAACTGTTCAGCCTGAAAAAACGAAGGCTTTGGGGGGATTTGGTGACAGCTTACAAATATATCAGGGGTGAGCATCAGGGACTAGGCAAACAACTATTCACCAAAGTGCCCCAGGGGAAAACTAGGACCAGTGGTCATAAACTCCTAGAAAAAGATTTCAGACTGGATATAAGGAAAATCTACACAGTTGGTGTTGTGCGGGCCGGCTCCCGGTCCCGTCCTCGCTGGGCGCGAGCCGGGCCCGTCTGTGTGCACGCGGGCTGTGGCCGGCAGCCCGGGCACACGGGGCCGGAGAAAAGCCGCAGGGGG